GGCGCCCACCCGCGCTGCCTAGTCCCGGGTTCCTGATTGGACCTGGCCTGAACTTTCCCGCCACAGGCACTTCCTCCCGCCGCTGCCGAGAGAGACGGGGCGCGGGTCCGAAGGAGCCGCTGCAGGTGCCCGCCCTAGAGGAGTGTTTAGAACTCCCTTCCGAGAGCGCTGTTGGGCTTAACGACAGAGATTATCAGCCACTAGCTAATGAGACCTAGAGAACACCGAAGGGCTGGGGAACGTTATCCTCAAAACCGAAAGGTAGACACGTGGAACGGAAACACTTTGGGACGATGCTATGAATACACTAATTGGTAATACAGAAACAAGATGGTGGGAGAGAGGAGGCTGAGGAGAAAGAGGAAGAAATCCCTGTCACTAAGAGAGGGGAATGGCCGCTGCTGCAGTGCCAAGTGTTCAGTTGATGCTAAAATAGTCAGATTTGAACTATTACCACCAACATTTGCCGCCATAAACCAGAGTTACTTTTTTTATACTATATATATTCATTCATCAAACAAAAGATGTTTCAGCACCTATTCTGTGCCAGACACAGAAGAGCTGGCCATACAGGCAGTGAACAAAACAGGCAAAAATCGTTATGGGGAGAAATATGAGTAAAATTGGATAGTGCTCCATCTGTTAAATAATTTACAAGCTCTTGGAGTCAGACCCCCGGGGCGAGGGGTAACCAGAAAACCTCAGAACTCTACCCAATACTCTCATCTCACCTGCAAACCTGCTATTTCTTACCTCTTGGAAACCACAGGCAAATCATTTTAATTTTTTTAAAGGCTTTTAAGCAGAAAAATTGAATCGTTTCATTCCATTAGTATTGATAGCATTTTGAGTGTGTAACACAGAGAAAAGCTTGAGATTTTACTATGTGAAAAGTCCACACCACTGGTTCTCGTCCCCAGATGATATACTATCTGGTGAAGGTCCTTGATCAGGAACTTTACATGCCAATTCTTGTGACAATGTACCACATCCCTCTGGAACTGCTAACACATTGTATCTATTAGTTTTAGATATGGTCTGTGCCTTCCTTCTCAAACACACTTGTGTCTTCTCAGTTTTCAAACTACATCTCTAGCTTCTGAGTTCTGCATTTAACTCACTTGGTAAGAGCTTCCATAAATTAGATAAATGTGTGTGATAACTATCCTTAATCTTGCCTACCTGTGTCCCAGCTTACTAGCCCATCACCTAACCACCTGTATCACCCATCACCTTTCCAAGTTTCAGTCTATCTTCATGATTTTTTGGCTATTACTAAAACCTGGAGAAGTGGAGTAATACTACTGAAAGTCCTAAGTAAAGAATCTATTGAAGGATTTTTCCGCATGCTCAGTGGCAGATGCGGGTAGCAGTATCTCTGGAACACAAAGAAAGCGAGACGACAGACACAATGAGAACAAAGAGCTGCTGGGTTCCACACTAGCAAAAGAAATCGGAAACAGGCACAGAATAGTGAAGACAACAGGAATTAAGATCTAAAGAGAAGCAATCATTTTACTGCAAAATGTATACTCTAAGGGAGAAGAGAAATAAACAGCCCTCTCATCCCTCACTTCCCCTATATGGTCTATAGAATACAGCCAAGCAACCAGTAGTCAAGCTTTACAACTGTGTTTTCTAAGTAACAATTATTGTAAAAATCTTCATTGTTTCAAAAGAAAACACTCATTGAAATTTTCACATAGAAAAAAGTTGAAACATTCTGAAAAGAAATTTGCCTCTTCCTGTCTGCTCTAAAAGTATGAAATTATTCATGTTCAGAGAAATTTTAAATCATTGCTTTCTACTAAAGCCCCTCTTTTTTTCCCTTCTGTGAATTGCACACGTACACACACCAGAGACACTCAAAATGCACACTGATTTTAAGTTAATATCACCAGGATGCTGGTCTCTTCAACACATAATTAAAGAGGTTGATGGTGTCAAGGTTTTAATTTAACAGTCTTGATTGTTTATTTTGATGCAAATTTGTAAGCTTTGTGTTTTGAAAGTGCATGAGTAATTGCTCAATTTTAAAATAGTTTTTAATTTAGGCAAAATACAGAAGTTGATTTCAGAGGTTTACAAAGAAGATGTGAAAAATGTAAGTGTGTCTCAGTAAAAACTTTATGCTTTAAGGATACATTTGAAGTACCATAAAATAATGAGAAATGTATCCATATATCACACATCCAAAACAGGATAAAGAAGTTCATGTTTTCCCAGTAGGCCCTATTCATTACCCCCTCAGAACTATGGTCACGCTTGTGAATTTTAAGAGATAAAATAAATTTATTTTAATTTGTATTTTTCACATATATCTCAAATAGTATTTACAGACATCAAATTGATTCAACAACAGAATTGCAAAAGCAGCATTGTTTCTTCTTGAATATATGAATACAATTCTCCAAGGAAATCTAGGAACAACCTGTTGTCATTGAAGTTTTACAGAACTAACAATGTTGGGTTACTTGCCCAAGTTCAGTCATGATGACAATTCTCAGCAGTTTCTAGTGGCCCAAACACTCTTCTCCTTATCCCTTTGCCTCAGAGTACAATTCCTCCTAGAGTAAGTCTCATATGTTTTAAACATACATTTTTTATCAATGTAGTTGACACACCCTAATATGAGCACTACATTAATTCAAGGTCGTAGATCTAATTACTGCAAGAAAAGAAAATCACTTAATATGTTAAACTAAGATCAAGGATCCCCAACTGTATTTTCAAGTTGATTCGGGACACAGTGTTAAAGTGATTTTTATGCCTTTTAATGGAGATTCCTGTTTATCTATACAGAATAGACTTGAATATTGTCGGTCCTACCACACAGGTGCAGGACCTAGCATGGTGTCTAGCACATAGCAAAGAACCATTGAAAATCTTTTTTAGAGTAGATGAATAAATAAATAAATCCCCAAGTTCTAGCTGGAATTTAGACAAGAACCTCATTAGTTATTTCCATAAGCCTCATTTATCACATGGTAACAACATAGGAAGTTAGAAGGCTTTTTGCAGACCCCATACTAATGGATTATTTTACATCTGACCCAATTTAAAGCTAGAAAAATACTTGCTACATCTAATGTGTTGTATTTTAATGTAAGGGGATAATGCAGACAGAATACAAAAATGTATGAAGCCAGAATTTATTGAAAACAATCCCTGTATGGGTTGCTCCATTTAACCCCACCCAACTCTACTACTCATATTCATGTCAAAAATCCATATAATTATACCCTGTAAAGCCACATATAGTAGTAGTAATAATAATAATTCTATTTGGCCAGGTATCCATGTAAGAGCCCTTTGTAATAAACACTTACACATGTCTATTATGGTCAAGTCACAGTGGTAGATGATTTTTAAAAAGTGAGTAAGACACTATCTCCACCATCAAGACCTTATCTAGTGGAGAAAGAAGCACAGGCACAATTAACTACAGCACCAGACATAGTATGATAAGAATTATGAAAAAATACAAATCAACAGCATAAGGAGTGGCCAAGAAGGAGCAATTTTGCTAAAACTTTTAGGAAGGCTTCATGTAGAGAGTGTGCATTATCTTGTTTGATTCTCCTCATCAAGCTGTGAGGCATTAGGGCAAGTATTGGGATATTCATTTATCAGTCAGGATATGGGATGTATCAAAGCAATGATGATTTTGCTAAAACTTTTAGGAAGGCTTCATGTAGAGAGTGTGCATTATCTTGTTTGATTCTCTTCATCAAGCTGTGAGGCATTAGGGCAAGTATTGGGATATTCATTTATCAGTCAGGATATGGGATGTATCAAAGCAA